AAATGACAGATTCAATTACTTTTACGTGTAAAAGCAACTAATTAGCAATAACAGCTTACTTAAACGTAATTTGAAAAATAAACAGTCATTCCGTGTTGATTTTTAAGATAGGTAGCGTATTCAAATCCATTGTCTGTTTGAGGGCACTTCTTGGTAATACTTCAGGTAATACTCTGACTCAGTGTTTGTAGTGGAGCTTCAAGAAAAGATTTTTTTTTTCACGTAAATCATATAAAGTAGTTCTATTATAATTAGGGACAAATATAGTCAACATGCGGGTATACCAGTAGTGGAGATTCGGGCTGCCCCATGAGTGCTAATAGGGGTTGCTAAATAATCATTGATTTTTTATTTCTTTGTTTTTGCTGAGCAGAAATAGGTTAGTGGTTAGCTGTAGATATTAATTTTGTTTTTGTTTATTTAATAATAGCTGTACATAAAACTGTTGTCTGGAATGAACAAATTTTAACTAGTCTATTCCAGACAACAATTCTATACCTCAGAAGACAAAGGTCGGTTGTCCAGTTTTTTGTGAAAATGAAGTATTATGAGACCTTTTTAGTTTTTTCGGTATCTACACAGAGGTATATGAACTGTTGTCCTTCGACAATGAGAAACAAAGTTAGGTCAATATAAAAGGTCTGATGTCCCCGCAATGTTCAAAGGAAAAATGTCTGTTATCCAGAAACGACTTTTATTATTTTTGTCAAAATTATATTTCATGTGCCTTAAGATAAATTAAATAAAACACAAAAAAAAATAAAAAAAATTTAACCATCAAAAATAAGCCAATAAAGATTAATTAACTTACTATTTCCTCTCCTCTGAACAATTTCTAAAATGTGACAACCGACTTTTGACTTCTGAGGCACAGAATTATTCCTTTATTATTTTATTAGCACAAGCCCGTAGCAACAGGTGGAGGGGCCAGCAGGGGCATTGGCCCCCCGCCTGCAATAATTTTTCAAATAAATAATTTTGACTAAAAAAATGACTAAAAAAACAAAACAAAAAAACAAAGAGCCTTAAAACTATTCTGGAGTTCCTTAATTGAGGACTACCCCCTCAATGTAATTTTTGTTCCTACGGCCCAGTATCTAACAATTATTCTAGTTAGTCATTTCCAGAAATAAGTTTCATTTTGGTTAGATTGGTTTTTAACAACAACCACGCTAAATAAAAGAAGCCAAAATACAAAATTTAGATTAAAATTGTGAAATGCAATTTTAAGCCAAAGCTAGAACAATAAACGAGACAGTCTTATAAAAACTTTTTAAAAATAACTTATGTAAATAACATCAGGATTAATTAAAAAAATTAAAGTTAAAAAAAATAAAGGTAAAAGTAATTATTAATTAATTAAAAAAAATTATAACTTTTTATAACCACAACAACCTCTTATTTTAATTTATTTAGTATAGTGAATTTAGAAGGATGGTTTCAAAAAGTACACTTTCAAATTTAAAATTATGTGGTCGATTGTGAAGAAAAGTATCTTGATGTTATTTTATCATACAAATGAAATAAAATCAAGTTTTTTTTCTGTAAATTTTCGTTACTTTTTTGTACTTTAATTTTTCAAAAATTTAAAGTAAAAAAGTTAATAAAAGTGCAAATCAAAATATTTAAACAACCAGATTCCAATCACATATATTAAATCAGGCCCGTAGCAAGCTTTTTGTTTTTGTTTGAGAATTTAACTTTATGTAACGACATGGAGCAAGCTCCAAACATTAACGTATTCATGTTTATGTAAAGCTTTTCAAAAGTATTGCGATAATCGGAGTCTGTAAACAATAAACCCCTAAAATGTTAACTTTCCTTTTATGCCATTAGTGTGAGAGCGATGAGTTTATAACATTTAAGTATACATTTTTTTAACATTTTAAACTAAATTTAAGTTCATTTACAACTCTCTAATGTCATGCAATAATCTCTTACTGACCATATACATTTTGAGCAACCTCCCCAAATATTTAGGGAATTTAAAAAAATTATCTTTAATTAAGTAATAAGTTGATCTGACAGTCAAACTCTGTTCCTCGTTCAAAAGTTCGGAGCAAAAGTAAATTTAACTCTTTTTTTCGTGAATTAGTAATCAAATGACGCGGACTTAAAATTTGTCGAAGAAAATTAAGTTTTTATAATGACTTTAGTCTAAAAGATCATTTGTATTTTTCAAAAAATAATATATAGTTTAAATTATTCTTATTTTTATTATTATTAACTTGATAACTATCAAATTAATTTTTTATTTAATTTAATTTTGTCATTAATTTTTGTTTCTTTTATTACTTAAAGGCATTCTTCGATGCTGTGATTGATAGGGCCGCGGAGAGCTATCACGAATTTTCCTTATATTATATATGAAGGACCTTTTTTTTTTTTAGGTACCTACATTTTATTTGGCGCCCCTTGGATATCTGCCACCGGGATAAACTGTCCCCCCTCTCGGCGGCACTGGTGATCGATTTTTAATTTTTATAATTTTTTACTTTTCTAAATTTGCCGTTATAAATTGTTACTTTTCTTTAGTAAAATATCCGAATGGGCTAGGGAGGGGGTCAAAAAGAAGACAAAAATAGCTTTATTGCCAAGCCCCTAAATATCCATACATAAAAAAATCATTTATAATTTGTCATCAAAAATTGATGATCACATCATTTTTTGAAGTTTTAGTTTAATAAGTATATTTATTTGACATTTATTATTTTGTATTTTTTGGGAATACATTTGAAAAATTAATATATATGTAGCTGAAATACCACGCAATACTAGTATTAAAATTGATTTAAATACAAGTATTGCATACGTTAAATACAAGTATTGCATACATTTTAACGTGGTATTATACCACGTCAAAAGCAATGTAAAAAGGTTTCATAATTTAAAAATGCGGCAATTCCTTTTATTACCAAACCGATTAAAGTTACTTAAACAACAACATCTTTAAATAATAATATTATTAATAGTTATGTACAAATGAGGTCTTTCAATGTGTTGTTAAAAACCATATTAAACTCATTTAAGGACTTTATGGTAACCAATATTATAATGATGTCTACTTGCGTAAATTCTGAGATGTAATATTAATATAATTATGAAAAAGTTGAGGCTTTTTCGTAAACCATTAAGACTTGCTTATGAGATGTCACTTTGTGACAAAAAACTAGAAAAATAAACTAGAAAAAAGGTTTTATTTAAATTAAAAAAAAAAACTCCTATTAAAGATATGATATATTATATAAAACTCCTATTAAAGATATATGTAATATATTTTTATAGGATATATTCTAATAATGACAAAAACTATTTATTTATTACTACTGTAATAAATGCATTCTCTTATCCGTGAAATGATATATCTGTACCAGTTTTATATATTTTTATGCATTTGTATGCAACAAAATTTAAATTAATTAAAAAAATGTTAGATAAATGCAAAAGATACTTGACTCATAAAGGTTTATTTTTCCACAAACCGACGTCAACGAGCAAGATATTTATTGACTTAACTTTTAGATTAGCGTTTAATATTATTCTTTAGTTTGTAATCATAATCTTGAGAGCGAAATTTTTTTTTATGACTATGTTTTAGTGGTTTAAGATCTTCTTAGTTCCATTTGTATAGCATTACGTACAAACGTCTGTAAATGTAAGCGTCTTTAGCATATGTTCAGTTTGCAGGCATTATATAGAATAATCGCGTATAATATATCTATAAAATGAGAAAACATTAAACTTTATTTAAATTATAGAAATCTTTTTTGCTATATTATTACTTTTTTGCAATAAATATATAAGCAAGATTAAAAAAATTCTAAAATTCATTACGCAAAGAGGAGGTCTTAACCCCCAAAACAACACTGATGTCTGCGCATCTAACCACTGAGCTATCAATGAAATGTATTTAGCAGGAAAAAAACCTAATTTTAAGTCTCTTATAAGCTTTACGTTTGTGGAAAAGGTGCGCATGTTATTTTTTTGCTCTTAAATTTTTTTTTCAACAAAATTATTTTTTCAGAACAAAATTATTTTACTAAAAAATATTGAAGTAAAAGAGGAATAGGTTTAGATATAATAGGTATGGAATAGAAATGTATAGAAATCGTAGATTTGGTAAAGAACCGTATTTTACAGATAAAGCTAAGATGTAAAAACTGAGTTTTTACATCTTAGCTTTATCTGTAAAATACGGTTCTTAAAATACTGAGCCCTCCGTTAGTTTTCTGATATCCATTTAAAAACAATTGTATAGAAGTCTAGTAAACAGTTTTTTTTATCGATTGTAAAGCGCTGTAGTTTGCTGTATATTTGCCAATATCACAATGCTCTTTACTAAAAACTGCCTGAAAGTTTTATTTTTGGACCATGATACCTCCGCTGTGGAATTTGCAAGTTTTTCTTTTGTATTTCTAAAAAGACTAAAAATTTTATCTATTTTTCGCGGCATTGATTAATATATCCACACATATAAACCTCATACTAAGCCAATCAGTTTACTAAACAATTCAGTGGCTTCTTGTAAACTATAGTAAAAAGAAACTGTTTTAAAACAACTACAATCTATTAGTTATTAATATTAAATACTGAAAGTACTAGCTGATTAATATTAAATACTGAAAATACTTGCTTATTAATATTAAATGCTGAAAATACTAGCTTATTATTATTAAATACTGAAAATTCTTGCTTATTAATATTAAATACTGAAAATACTTGCTTATTAATATTAAATACTGGAAAAAATGATATAAAAGCTCTACCTTTGATTTTTTTGCCTACCCTTAAGTTTACATTAATATCAATTCCTAGTTTTCTCAAAATAAGCTAGTTTTTAAAATACGTAACATATTTATTTATGTGCAAAACAACGGTTTAGCCCTTCTAGATTTTAAAAAATTAACTTGCCATATAATTAATTGATAGGCCATTTCATAATTTTAAATTTTATTTAAACACGTCATCTAAATTATTTTAGAATACCCACAATCAATTACTTGAAACAGATTTAAAAGTCCAAACGCAGCAACAAATACTGTTAAGGTTTATAAAAATGCGTTAATAAAGATAGTAACCGTTTTATGTAAAAACAGTTGTCCGACCAGAAAGTTATTATCTTATTACAACCTCTGTAAGTTATTTGCAAATATCTTTTCTGCTTTTTTTTTTATGTAATAATTTTAAGTAATTTCAATGTAGTTTAAATATAGTTAAAATGCTTTCTATGTAGCTAAAACTATAAAATTAAAATTGCATCATTTTGACGGCATATCAGAAAAACAATTTGTTTTTAGGGTTAAATTAAAGTTGAATCATTTTGACAACATATCAGAAAACTAATCAGGTCTTAGAATTTTTGTTGCTGTAATAATTATTATTTTCTTGACGCGAATTTACACACACGCTTTATAAAATCGTGAAGTCAAAAAGATGGCAAATATTAGAATTTTAGGTGTACTTTTTCAACATTTCGATATCGAATTGGAAAACTTTTATTTTATTTTGAGGTCTATTTTTTATACGAATTTATATTATTAAAAAGTTTGCAAGCAAATACGGGTATTTCTGATGCTTTCCTTTTACACCTACACATGCATTGAAATATGTGTATAGTTCTTATAAATCATAACATTTTTATAAAAAAAAAAAAAAAAAAGAATTAAAGCAATAACAAGTGGCACAATCCTTTTTTAAGATCGTCAAGCCGATAATGACCTCTAATTGTTGGGTAAGTTTAACAGTAGCAATCGTTAAAACTTCAGAAATAGTTAAGCGCTACGTCGTTCATCAATAGTTTTTCCTTCAATCTGTTCTTAAACTCATTAAGCGTAGCATTTGTTTTAAACTCCTTAGTTAATATTTTATTCCATGATTTTGCCCTTTAGTAGAAATAGTAAACGACCGGGACTGATATTTGACTGTGGCCAAAGCTGTTTCTACGGACAGGACTAAATAAGCATTAGTGCATATTGACTTATTTTTATATATCATATTAATATGCTCCAATGTTTATACAACCCCAGCCATAAATCTAGCTTTGGCCCAGATTGAATACCAGCCCCGGTCGTTTACTAAGTAGAAATTGAAAATTCATTCGGCGCAAAATAATTTTTAGGGTGAATATAATTGTTATTTGAAAATCTAGTTAGATATCTGTTCTGATTTATTTTGAATAGTGGATAAAATATTTTAGGAGATATATTTTCATCATTTTGAACATAAATATAAGAATTTGATAGACATTTAATTGATAAATATTCATTATACTTTAATTAACAAATAATGCTTGTGAGTGTAATATAACGGACCACATCGGAAATGGTTCTGATTGCATGCTTTTGTTTATTAAATAGTTTTTTTGTTTTTATTTTTATTTGTACTGCACCAAGTAATGTTTGCGTAATTAAGATGGCAATGAACGAACAAGAAATACAAAAGTTTTAAGGAAGTTAGATTTAAAAAAAGGCTTTACTCGGCAAAGCAGGCCTATGTTCCTTGATATTGTATTTTTGAGATAATGTGATCTCTACACGTTAGATTTTCATCAAGAAGCACGCCGAAAAATTTACAGGTGGTTTCTCTTTTTATGTCCTGATTGGCAAATACAAAGTTTTGAAAGTTTGAAAGGTATTTTATCTCGGTCATGAAAACGATGGAAAAAGTATATTTTTTTTGGTTACATTTAGAGATAATTTGTTTGCATTAAATCATTTGGTAAGATTTAATAATGATATAACAGAATATTTATATCATTATGTGCATAAAGTAGATTTGTTTCATCTGCAAATAAAATTATATTTAGTTTAGTACAAGATTTGCTTAAATCATTAATAAAAATATAAATCTCTGTGGAACCCAACATGTTATGCAGGGCCGGCGCGAGTAGGTGTCACGTGGGGGGTGGGGGGTGGGGTGCCATTATAACTTTTGCCGAAAGAAAAAAAAAAAAAAAAAAGGTCCTTGTTTTCAAAATTTTGCCGACTGCCATGGCGACATTTGTCGACTAACTGTCTAAATTACCGACTAACCTATCAAAAGGGTCGATATATGCCGACTTACTAGTCGCAAAGGGTCAAATTTGCCGACTAAAGGTCAAATTTGCCGACTAAAAAATCATTGATGGGAGAGGGAGGGGGTGTTACCCCCTCACCCTCCCCCTTTGCGCCGGCCTTGATGTTATGTTCATATTGGTTGTTTTACCTTCATTATAAGAAATGTATTTATTTTCTATTTGACAAATATCTTTTAAACCACGCAATATTTGTTTAATACCATAGTTTTTGATAATAAAGTGTAATGATCCACAGTGTCAAAAGCTTTACTGAGATCAGTAAATACACCTAATGTATATTTATTTTCATCAAATAATTTAAAGATATCATGAACAAGATGAACAATGATCAGTATGAAAACGACCCTATGAACAATACCCTGATCTGTAGAGTGGCTCTTTTTAAACCCAAATTGTTTACTATAGAGAATACTGTTTGCATCTAAAAAGTAATACAATCTTTTATACATAATGTGTTCCAATAACTTTGAAAAGCATAATAATATGGAGATAGGCCTGTAACTGGAGACACTACCCATTCGGAAAAAAGACGTCGAAAAGGCGTCTTTAAATGTCTAATTTACGATGTCTTTAAGACGTCTTTTTTTATTCAATATGCAAATCTTAAAAACATCTATTTTCGACATCGAAAAGACGTCTTTTTTTATCTTAATCTTGTTATGAAAAGACATAAAAAGTCACAAAATAACACTATAGTCTCATCTCCTAACTTTAGTATAGATATTATAAGTGCAAATTTAAATTTATCGTAAAGATTCCTTGTTTTAAAGAGAACGTTAATAGATGCGGAATTTTTAAATAAGGAATTGATTTAATTACTACATTACTGCATACATCATCAACTCATTATTTGGTTTATTAACCCAGTGGGAAAAAAGACATCGAAAATACGTCTTTAAAAGTCTTATTTACGATGTCTTTAAGACGTCTTTTTTAATCGATTATGCGACATCTTTTTTCTACATCGAAAAGACGTCTTTTTTTATCTTAATCTTGTCATGAAAAGACATAAAAAATGCATCTTTAAGACGCCTTTTTTTAGTCGAATATGCGAATCTAAACGACTTCTTTTTTCGACATCGAAATGCGTCTTTTTTGTCTTTATCTTATCATAAATAGGCATAAAAAATGGGTCTTTAAGACGTCTTTGTTTATCAATTATGCACAAGTGTTTTTTCTCGGGGTCGAAACGACTTTTTTGCCATACTTATTAGTATACTATAGTATCCTATACACTATAGTATTTCTACTTTTCATATATGAAAAGCTGTTTTTTTTTAAATTAAAAAGATAATAGCTCTTCATACAAAGTATGACAAAAAGCTCTTTCCGATGCCGAAAAAAAAACCTCTTTTAAATGTCAATATAAAAGAGGAAGCATTTTCTACATCTTTTATATGTTTAAATATAGAAGAATAATTTATAAATAAAACAATAGTATTGTTCAGAATATTGTTCATCTTTCTCTTTCTTTTCTGTTTCTTGAGCAAGCTTTATTTCTTGGCGTTGTTGAATAAAATTAACAATTTCACGCCAAGAAATCCTTTCATACGAGCAGGTTACGACTTCTAGCTGGTTACCACTTCTAAAAAACGAGTGAACATAAAAAGCAGTCTATTGCTTAAATGCAATACAAAAAAAGCAAACGAAACTTGATTAGCTGAGTGGAGCACATTATACTTACCGACTATTAATTCAAAAAGGGATGATCCTTTTAATCCACTCATGTTTCCAGCGCGGTCTCTTCTTTTTGAACCCACTAGGTTAGATTGGGACAGAAAATAAAAAGGTAAACAGTCTAAAAATATATAAAAATGAGTGTGCTAAATAAATTTACAAGCATCAAAATGACTGTACAACAATGTATTTTATTATGTAGTACTTAAATCAAGCTAAACATTTGCACCTCTCAGATTTGCTATGAAATCCAAGTTATTAAAAACAGATATTGATATTTTTCTGTCTTCTATAACATGACTTTTTAATTGAATTACGCTGAAATTGTGTTTTAGACTCATAACAATTTAAAAATCCGTTATTGAATAAAGACTATCAAAACAGATAATTCAGAGTTGTTATTTATTTGAACAGGAAAAAAGTATTAGTTAAAGCTCTATTTTAGCCTAAAACATAAGGATGCTTTACTTAACAATATAAAATCATAAAAACTGGCAATATCATTAGCAACACAGATGAAATACACATAAACAAAAATGAAGAATAGAAAGCTGCAGTGATGTTTAGATATAAGAAAGTGTACCTTTCCAGAATTATTTTCACTTGGTTTTTTGTGTCCAAACCAAAAATTTTGCGAACATTTCTAAAGATAATCTGTTGTCTTTGTTTTAAAGCGTTACGCCTTGAGCGATTTTTACGTACGCGTAAAAATCTGTTTTGGTTAAGCTACTTTTTATCATTTTTTAACTTTTAAATTAGCGGTAACATAAAAGAAGTAATTAATTTTTAAATAACTTTTAAATAACATTAACTTTTAAATAACGATATGTAAAAGATATTTATTAAAAAAAAGAATTTACTATAAAAATAATTGTTGTAACTTTTCATCGCGATATATCTTTCTTTTTTATAGCAAATATGACGCTAAACTTTTTATCCAAATATTTAAATAGCAACATGAAAAATTGTTTGTCAATCCTTAACTACAAATTTTTTGCAATGTTTTTAATAAAAAGTAGTAATTTTTTAAAGTTTTCAGTAAAAAACTTTAAAAAAATCTATATTCCATATTTATTAATACAGAATATAAATGTTTTTTGTAATATAGATTTTTAAAGAATTTTTTACTGAATTTATAATAAAAAATATTTGCAAAAAAATTTGTAATTAAGAATTGACATTTTTTTTAATATCTCAAATAATGTCTTTATATTTTTGTTATCATGATAACAAAAAAATCAAGACATTTTTTCGAGACATTAAAAAAAATGTCTTGCTTTTCTTATTAGTTAAAGGTATATAGATACCTTTACCTTTAAGTTATGCGGGGGGATGGGGTCGGCACAGAAAAAAAATTACCTGTTACTCGCAATACTTGAATGAAGACAATTTGTTAAATTTTTCTGCGTGCGATTCAATAAGTTTTTTTTTTTCATAAATCAAGTTATATTATAAGGTAAAGAAATCATGAGTAGACTACAACATCCGCTGATGACACTAATATTACGTTGAATATATTTATATAACGGAGGTTTTATTGTGCACGCGCACATTACAGGTTCCGTTAAATAAATACTAAGACACGTTTTAGTTTAATGACAGTCTCCATTTTTTACTAATGAATATGTATTTTTCTTTATAAAACAAAACAAACTAGTATATAAAAACCTTGAATATTTCTATATCTCTAAATTGTTTAAAGTTCGAATATGGATTGTATTTTGAAAGACAAAAGATTTACTTTAAAAACTTTTAAATCTTGGGATTTTGCCGATGCTTTGCCGATGCGATGATCACAGAAAAAGAGAAGACTTACGTTATTAATATCAAATGTAAGTTATGTGATCTTCATCAAAATAAAATATTATCCAAAAACAATGCCGTAAGGGGAACTGCCCAACGGTTTATAAATAACACAAGTCATGTTAAAACATTTTAACATGTTACTATATTTAATTAAGTTGATATATAATTAAAGATAAAAATATAGTTCAATAAATAAACTAAATTTATTCTTAACAAAGATTACCTCATATTTATTCTTTTTTTTATTTTATTAAGTTAAATTGCTTACAAACGAAAAAAAAAGAGTTTTGTAATTATACGTAGAATGAAAATACTTTTGAGTTTGTTTTTTAAGTTAAGGAACTTAATTTTTAATAAGCAAATTTTTACGAACGTTTATTATAAACAGATACGATTCAAATTATTAAATATACTTAAATTATTTCAGTTGAGTATTTTTTTAAGTTTGCACGATTAAAGTTTTGCGTAGAAGAATTTGTTTTTTTGTTTTAAGAATAATTAACAAAAGAGTTTGCATAATTAAGACTTTTATATTTAATTAAATTTTTTTTTTTTTAAATTTCCTAAAATTAAAAAAAAAAAGATTTAACCGTTAAAAACGATTTTTCTGTGATTTGTTTCTTGTGATTTGTTTCTCTATGTTTCTTTGTGATTTGTTTAAAAAGTAAAATATTTTTACAATAACATAAAAAATTTATGAATTAAATTATTGGCGAACGCGTTCTATGTATCAAAAATAAGCTCTATATATCAAAATATGTTCTATGTATCTATGTATCAATATATTCTATGTATCTATGTATTTATATCGATATGTTCTATGTATCTATGTATTTTTACAATAACATAAAAAATTTATGCGGAAGTACATTAAATTTAATTGTTTTTTAAAAAATTTTTAAAAAACCGCAATTATAACGACTAGAAAGTTTTTTTTAATTAGTGGTGTTTTTGTTATTGATTTAATAAAAAACATTTTTAAAACATGCGTAAATGTTGCTACATCGACTATCTTATAGCCTGACTCGCAACGGAGTGCTGCTACATCGACTGACAAATAGCCTGACTCGCAACGGAGTGCTGCTACATCGACTGACAAATAGCCTGACTCGCAACGGAGTGCTGCTACATCGACTGACAAATAGCCTGACTCGCAAGGGAATGCTGCTACATCGACTGACAAATAGCCTGACTCGCAAGGAAGTGCTGCTACAACGACTGACAAATAGCCTGACTCGCAAGAGAGTGCTGCTACATCGACTGAGGGTTTGGTTTGGCCAGGCAGTCTATCAATTAAAAGAAAAAATATATATATATATATATATATATATATATATATATATATATATATATATATATATATATATATATATATATATATATATATATATATATATATATATATATATATTACTAAACAATATTGAACTAAAATTAATAATAAAACAACAATTAAAAACATTACAAAATTTTCATAATAAATTTATATTTAAAACGTTTATAGTTATTTGAGTTAATTGTTAAATTGAACTTGTTTGCGGTTATTTATTTATTGCGGTAGTAAACACTTAACGTCTATAAAAAAAAATAACGATAATTTTATGACGTCAAAATCGCGTTAAGCTAGCACTTTTTTATTTGAAACAAGGCCTGCATTATGTGTATATTTTTAATTACTTTGTTAATGACAGACAACAGTTAACAAGGAAATAACATATTTAACATAAAAGAGCCAATCTTTTGTATAAACAATTTCATCATTCAACTAAATAAAAACAACAAAATTGTTTAGATCATTTAAAAATATATAAAAAATAAGTTGCAAGCCTACTGAATGCTTCCTTTTTTCTATCGTTTGTTTCACTGGCACTTGAACAAGTAAATATAGAGAGAAATTGTTTTCAGGTTTTATTTTTTGTCTGAAAATAAATGTTTTAACTTAACATGTAATAAACAACGTTCTTCAAGCACAATACATTAAAAAATTAGTCTAAAAATAAACGGTAAAACTTTTTAAAACACTTACCTGCGACTAACTTAATTGAGATTAGATCATATCGATACCATCATACTGGCACCACACTATCCACTTTTGCTTCTTCCGATTAACATTTTTTAGCTAAACAGCTGCAACTGTGTATTTATTACAGTATATTAAATTTCCTACGCAAAAATGTTTCACATAAAAAAAAGTTATAAAGAAATCAAGGATGAGAAATGAAGGATCGTGGTTCAAATCCCAACTCTGGGCAAATTTTGAGACATCAGTTAGGAAGGAGGCGTGAACTTCCTACTAAATACTCATCCGCGGTGCTCTGTGATAAGACCGTAATAACTTCTTGGGGTACAAAAACAAAACAAAAAAAAAAAAAATGCATGGTTAAACGAATTAGTAATTATTGCGTCGTTAATTTACAAATAGTTTTTTTGGTAAACAACTAATATTTATATTTTTTTACCCATATTATGTACCAAGTTTTTTGTATTTCATTTTTCGATTTTAGTAATTAGCAGTGCTCGAAGCGAGGCGGGATGGGGCATGGTGCCATCCCGTTACTTTTTTAAATTTTGAAAACCATCCCACTACCTTTTTAAATACATATTTTGGGGTGGGATGCCATCCCAATACATAATAAATTAATGGAAATTTTATTTTATTTTCTTCCAATAAATAAACTTGTAAAAATAATTTTAAAGTTTGCGGCAATATACGAATTTGCGGTAGAAAGTTCAAAAACTAAATCGATAATTATAAAACATTGCGTCTTTTCTTTTGTATTTTAAATAAAAAGTTACCAAGCAACAAAAAGTGACATTGACATTGAGTTTTTTTTGGTGATATAAAATATAGTACACAGTAGAATTACTCAACATTAAATGTTATGATTTAAAAAAAATTTACTTATTATAAATATGGATAAATGGCTAGCAAACGGAAGGAAAAGAAAGTTAAGCAGTGATAGTTCTAAAAGTAATTTGGAAAATGACTCTAAAATAAATAGAGAAGTGACAGATTTTTCGAGTATTGAAACTTGCCAATTCTTTCCTCAATGTGATGGTATCTTTCCAGATTACTGGTCTGATTTACAGTGAAAGGAGAAATTAAAAACATTTGACTGGTTGACAGTTTCATTAACAGGATTTGGTTGTTCTGTTTGTAAGTCAGCAAATAATTTAGGTGCCGAAAAATCTTAAGGAATAAAATTGGCTAGCGAGTGGACGCTTGGTAATGTTAAGGAGTATGGGGAAATAAAAAAACAACAAAACAATCAATGGAAATAAAAAAACAACAACAACAAAAAAAAAACAACAAAACAATCAATGGGAAATAAAAAAATAACAAAAAAAAAATCAATGAGGAAAAAGCTTTCTAGCCATAAACTATCAGTTGCACACGAAAAAGCTTGTAAAATTATTTCTCAGTTCAAAAAATACACCATAGAGATGTTTAGTTCAAAAATGCAGATCAATCAGCACGAAACTACCTACCACATATTTCGCACTGTTTATCACATTGCAAAAATGAATCGTCCATTTTCTGATTTGAAAGAACTAATATTATTACAGGTAGAAAATGGTTTAGACATGGGACTTATTTTACAATCTGATCACGCATGCGCTAATATTGTTTATCACATTTCAAATGAAATGCGCCCTAAGCTTGTAAAATATATTATTCATAACGATAATAAAGTAGGGTTTATGATAGAAGAATCTACCACGATGAGCAAAAAGTCTGCTCTGTCAATCTGCTTGAGAGTGAACATTCTAGAAATAAATATTGTCAATAGTATTATTTTTGATTTTGTTGAATTATCAAATACAGAAGCCTCGTCTATTGCAAACTCTTTTATATGTGTTTTACACGATTTTGGTTTTAACAACAATTTTTTATTACTTAATTGGGTGTCTTTTGCATGTGATGGTGCTTCTAATATGCTTGGCAAAAAGGAAGGCTTGGCTAAGTTACTTTTGAATCAGTTTCCTAATTTGATTTTATGGCATTGTAACAATCACCGATTAGAATTAGCAGTAAATGTTGTTGTGCGCGATATTTTATCAATTTGTCACATGAAAATTTTTTTTGATAAATTATATTCCATTTACAATGCACCTTCTAAAAACAAAAAAGAACCGGAAACTGTTGCTATGGCTTTAAGTGTAAAACTAAATTCCATTGGACGAATTCTAGGCACTAGATGGGTGTCGTCTAGCGCTCGATCTGTTATGGCTGTTTGGAATAATTATGCAGCATTGTATCAACACTTTCATAAATCTTCATTGGATTCAAGGCGTAGTGCAGGAGATAGAGCCCAATATGCAGGTCTTAAAAATAAATTATGTGATATCAATTTCATACTCAACATGGCACTAATGCTAGATGCTTTAATAGAACTAGAACATCTTTCTAAAAAATTACAACATAGGCAAAGTTCTTTACCTGATGGACATTGGCTTATCACCTTAAAATACCATATATTTCAATCGATGAGAAATAATTCCGGTGAATATTATTCGCAAACGCAGCTTGCAGCAGAAAAGTTTGAATTTAAAGGCGTCAAACTGCAGATCGGAAAAGTTTCTAAAATTAATCAAAATGAATTTTTTAGTAAACTGAGTGAAAGTCTTGATTCTAGAATCTTTACAATTAGAGCTGCGCATAAATCTTTACAAGACAAAGAAAATGATTCAAACAAAGAAAAATACGATAATTTAATAAAAAATTTACAAACTTTTGGTAAGCCACAATGGTTTGCAGACCAAGATCCATGCTTTGGAGATAACGATATTAGACAATTAGCAAAAACTTTAAATATTTGTGAAATTACGGCAGTCCAAGGGTTTCGTGAATACATTTCCACTGGTGACTGTAATAAAACCCCTAATGATTTTCAGCCTCTGAGAACTGCTATAAATACCTTGATTGTTTCAACAGCAGAATGTGAGCATTCTTTTTCTACTATGAACATAATCTTATCTTCCTTGCGAAACTCTTTATTAATAAAAACTGTGTCGAGTTTAATGTTCATTTCATTAGTAGGTCCACCAATTACGCATTTCGATCCAAAAGATTATGTCATTAAGTGGTTTGGGAAAGGACATCGCGATGGTAATTTTAGGAATTGTGAAGCGCCGGCTTTAAAGTCTATAAATGAAAGTGAAACATATTCGAAGATATTCTGATCGAGTTTTTTTTCAATTTTTTTAAAAATTGGTAAATAAAAAAAAATAAGACTTGTTTAAAAATGAAATGTTTAAATATACCATTGTTTTTTGATTGCTTAATGACGTTTGATGTGAGACTCAACATTTTACGGTGACATTATTTACGGTGACATATTCTTAGGAATATAACGGACCTCAAGTTGTTTTTTTAATACAGGTTTTTTACTATATGGATATTCTAGGGATTTTTAGTCCCTTTATTTAATCTACACAAAATACGAAATCTATAATTTTAGGATAGGTGGGATGGTGATTAGAAAATATTAAAAACCATCCCGCTACCTTTTTTTCCCCACTTCGAGCACTGGTAATTAGCTAAAGCCTTTTTTAGCGCTTTACAATTGTCACAAACAGACGATTATAGTTTTATAGTTTGTTTAATTTTTAAAAGTTCTTTTTTTTAATGAACTTTTCATACATAAGCTGCTTTTTTTCGAAGATTTAATGATACCAGGTGTTATCCTGGGTATTTGTAGAGTTTTTGTTTTAATAAATTTAGTTATTATTGGGAATGCTTTATTGTTATGGCATTCAAATATATGATAAAATTTATCATAAACTTCATTAACATTTTTTGTTTTCAAAACAGATTCCCAGTTTGTCATCGATAAAAGGCTAATAAATGTCACAAGAGAAACGTTTTTACTTTTTTAGAAAGTTGATTTAACGATTTTTGTTCTTTATAAAAACCAGAAAGTGATCAGATATGTCTGTTATAAATATGTTTTTAAGTTTTAATTCTTATGTTTTTAAAACAATTATTATTTGATCAATTAAAGAAGCAGTGTTTTTTGTAATTCAAGTAGGTTTATTTATAGTTGCAATTAGTTAATTGCAAAAATAAAAAAAAAGACGTCAGAACTTTTTTTAATATTATTTTTTAAAATGGATTAATCCATTTAAAAAAATAATATTAAAAAAAGTTCTGACGTCTTTTTCTTTGTCGTGTTCGAGCAAATTAAAATTCAGATCGCCTATGCATTTACCACATAATTCTTCGCTTATAATTCACCTTTCCCCGTATTATTATTTCACGTAATGCATTATGGTGTTTGTATGTATAGAAAAAGGGGCTGTCCATTAATTACGTCAATAAGTTTTTAGAAAATTTTAACTCCCCCCATCCCCTTGTCAACAATTTGTCATATTTCCAGAGCCCCCCCCCCTATAAAATTACGTCAACTTTTGCTTACCCCCACCCTCCTATACAAAGAAACTACGCTAGAAACTCAGCCTAATTTTTCCTTATTTAAGCAATAAAACTCAAAAAAAAAATTGTTATGTTAACTTTAAATTATTAAAAAATTATTGTTATTGTTGACTTTAAATGACCTCCCCCCTCCCCCTATCAACAACTATCAAAAAAGATCAGACCCCGCTCCCCCCTATTTTGTTTACGTAATTAATGGACAACCCCAAATCTAAAACTCGCAATTAATAGTTATTTTATTTTTCATTATTTCGTACGGGACGATTGAATAAACGCGAATTTCATAAGTGCAAACTGGCATAAGTGCGAATGGCGTAAGTGCGAACTAACTTATATGCGAATTGATATAATCCGAATTGGCTTAAATGCGAAGCAGTTACAAAGACTGGCATTAGTGTAAATTGGTATAAGTGCAAACTGGTATAAGTGCGAATTGACATAAGTGCGAATTATATAAAATAAATTATAAGAATAAATAGTCTGGAAACACAGCCTGGGAACAATAGTTTTGCGTTGATGTTAGGTTCTTGTACCCAGCCTACTTTAAGGTGCAAAACAAACAATTTTTTATAAAGAATTTGAATAAAGCTGTAAGAAAAAAAATGTTTGCAGCAAATTGTTTAATATATGGTTGTATTACTTTACTTTATTTGTATGGAATAGCTATATTCTGTCTTCCTAAAGGTAAGAGTTACAGACTATAATGTTCAATAGAGAAGAAAATTGATAGAGATTATCGCAAAAGTTCTTATCACTACTGTTAATAAAATCCTTCTAAACAATGAATCTTCATATGCTTATGCTACAGCTAACTTAGGTTAAATGATTGACATTTTTTCTTATATTATGAATATAAGTCATTATATAGAATAAATTCAAAAGTCAAATCCATTCTCAGTCCTATTTTCTTCTGTTGATGACTATGGTTTTAACTGGATTAAATCAGAATTTTCAACATATTTTGAAAAGTGGTTAAATTCCATTAATAACCATCAAGGTAATTTTCTCTAAACGATAGAAGAAAATGTTTATATCATGGCAAACCCACGAAGGAAATAAAATTACTGTTAATTTTGCTGTTGAGTTTACAAAACTTTTACTTTCTTATGATGTATCTTTTGTATTAACAGAAAGATTTTTTCAAGATCTACAATAAAATTATTATGGACATCAACGCCATATTGGTTCTCGCAAGGATAATCCATTTGTCTTTATATTTTAGTTATAATGATAATACCATTTGAAATCAAAAAGTCTTCAGACCTTTTGAAAGATGGTAATTCCTAAGAAGATATTCACTTTGAGATTAATGAGATTAAAATACATTATTGGCTAAATGAACAGATACTTTATGACCCAATATTAATTGATTTGATCAACAAAAGATTAATACATTTAAGTAACATTATACTGGGTTGTAATTATATAAAATTTATTTTATTTTTTTGCTTAAATAGATTGACAGTATAAGCAGGGTCGGCACTAGTGTATTAGACAATTTAAGGCTAAAATTTCATAATTATTAACTATTAAAAATAGTTAATCATTATATTTTTCAAATATTAAAATCATAGTTATAAAAAAGTTTAACAGATAATACCCAAAGTTTATTCAGATAGTAGTTAAAACAAAACATTTGTGTAAAACAAGGTCCCTTGTAATACATTATTTTGAAAGCAATCATTGAATTTTTTTTGCTGCTTTCATAAAATATAGACTACTAAAAAAAACTCTTTCAATCTATATCAGGGGTAGATCTAACATTTTTTGGTCTTTGAGATAGTTAACTTCCAGACATGAGGCAAACTCCAAACATTTAGATGTTTATACTAACGTCAAATAAGGATGCTTTGCAAAAAATAGCAATGATTGGAGCCTGGGAACAAAAAAGCTCCAAAATTATCTTTCCCCTGTCTCAAACGTGAGGGTAAAAAATTGATAAAATATTTTTGTACTATTCTTAACTAGACTTATATTCATCAATTATTTTTAAGTATTATAGTTTAATCTTTTTATGTTCAAAAATTATGACCAAATAAAATTTTTAACCCCTTTAAATTGAGGAAAGTTCAAACTTCTTAAGGTCTTAATTTTTGATCGTTAAAATATTTTACTATGAAATTAAAAGTTTATTGATGAATATAAATCTTGTTGAGAATAAAACAAAAAATATTTTGCAAACATGATGCTCTTATGATTGGGGCAGAGGGGCGAAATTTTTGGGAAATTTCTATTTTCATGCTCCAATCATCGCAATTTTTTTCAAAGCTTATTGAAATATCTGACAAAAGTAAAAACAAATGTTTCGAGTTTGCACGATGGGTTGAAGTTAGCTTTCTCAAAGGCCAAAAAATGCTCGATCCGACCCTGATCTCTATTTGTATCTAAATAAGAAAATTGGAGTTAAAATTGATAATTGAAGTTAGAGTAAGTCTACTGAATGATAAATTTTGATTACAAGGGAAAAGGTGGCTCAAAATATGATGGAAAAGATTTGCTTGCTTAAGCGTGACATTAATTTCTAGAAAAGTGTAAAACTTATGTTAAATATTTTACAATCTAATTTTTTCAATATTTTAATTCATAAAGATTTAGGGTTTTAAATATAAATTAAAAAAAAGCTAACAAAACCAAAAATTTTTGAGAAAACTAAACCTTAACCCTCCCTGATACTTGCTTATTTTATATACTCTTAAAAAATTTGCTCAAAAATTATCTGAGGTGCTAAATAAATGCTCTTGTTTATTAATTTCTAACTGTGTGTGGGGGGACTTAACAAACAGGTGGGTGGGATTTTTTTATTTTTGCTAGTGCACTTTTTATTTATAATTTTTAAGGTTGATTGACTAAAAAAAGTATTTAAAATTTTTTTCTTTAGCTTTAAGATAAAATTTTCTTGTTGATAACAAGTAAAATTTATTAAACAGACAGATTTTTTAACTTAATAATGTTATTAAATAAAAAAATTTAATAAACAGTTTCAATAAGCTCAAAATTAATGGGAAAGTTTCTGAAAAAACTTAAAATATGGTTATAAAAACCCTAAAATGTTGGCCCTAAATGTAAAGTTTCCAATCCACACAAAAATGAAGTGTTTTTAAAGTTTATATAGCCGTCTTTTGATTTTAATTCCCAATTACTAAAATTTTTTGTAAATTAAATTGATTGTAGAAAACTTTTGAATGAAAAGAAAAAAATTAAATAAAAACCAGTATTATATACTCTGATACCACAAAAATGTTTTTAGCCATTTGTAACAATGAAATAGCTGTTTTAAAAATTGAGATAATATCAGAGAATTGTTTCCTAATTGTCAAATGTGAAATTAATATATCGTTGATCTTGTTGAACATTAATTTTGTAAGTTGTCAAGATGTCAATTTCCTGATGAAATTGTATCCCACTAAACTGATTGACCAGAAAGATGAGACAATACACGGTTACATACTTCAAACCTGAATAATGTGGAAGCCCCAAGAGCTCAAACATTTTTTGTTACAAAATATACAGAAAAGTATTATTTTTCAGCAAAAACATTTAATAAATCCTGTAAGTTAATAACTGTAAAAATAGAATAAAGCTCGTCTTGATACAACTTAAAAATAGGCTAAAAATGATTGAAATCTTCATAACTTTCAGCCATCATTTAAGTTTGTTTTGTACCTTATTTAGGCAGACCACCTGATTTTCTTTTTTTATTTATTGTTATTTAGATGCCCCAAGAAGACCGACCTGATGGTCTTGTCAC